AATATTTTTTGTTAACTTAAAATGCGTTTTCATTTGAATAAAAACACATTTTCGTATTAATAATGTACATGTATACAGTTTTTACACATCTGTCGTTTGCATGAAAGAGTATCTAGCAACTGGATTAACACTTCTTTATGTGGCCAAATTTGAACCTTGCAATGAAAGAAATAACTGTATTTTGACATTGCATTTGCAATTCAATAAAATATACTCACGGATCTCTACCTTTTTAATCCATGCGTAAAGCACATTCGATAAGTCGACTATTAAAAAATTACATAACATAGGATAAAGGAAGTTATATAGAATATAGAAGAAAGCTTCAACTAGTACATTCAAATGAACTTTACAAACTAAGCTTTATCAGAATTTCAGCAAACGTGGGAGGTACAATTGTTGTCTCAATTCAATCGAAGGATTTCATTTGTGATGAGCGCTGCAGTTACTGTAAAATCGTTGATTGCTTTCCTTCAAACACACATTAAATATAACTATATATCATTTTTTATGCTCGTTAATAGAAATCAAAACGTGCAACTGAATCCTAGTAAAATCTCTCAATATTTTTTGTTAAAAATACTATTAATGATAATTACAGAATGAAAGTCAGCTTGATCTCGCTGTACTTACTGAGATGACGTCATTTCTTAGTTTGACACGCAGTTTCTCTGTACTTGAGGCGTGGATCAAGCTTTTATCGTAGCTTGTAAAAATAAAAATAAATACAAATCACACATAGTCGGACGAAATGAGAGACATATTCTGAAATATATTAATCCACATTTTATTGTCAAACTAAACTGATAATGTGTAGACTTTTATATGCAGCGGACAATAAGTCTTTTGAACCGGACAAATGTCATATTTTTATCTCATTGACCCTTAAAACACTTGAGATATATGGAGATAACGAACAGTATTCAAGTCCATTAAACAATACAAAATTGGAGCAGAGCAAATACGGACCTCCAAACATCAGAGGTGGGATCAGGTACCATGGAGGAGTGAGCATCCCCTGCCGACCGGTCACAACCGCCGAGTGCTCCTTGTCATGATCGTTTATATTAGTGGCATGAAAATATTTTTTATGTTTATCTATGAAATACTTTCTAGCTTAATTTGATTGATTCAATCGATCCACAAGGGTGGAAAGATTTAAGTTGCATCACATCCCATAAAAAATGCTTTGCAATGCTGAGTACTATGGCAACTTGACAAATTTCACCAAAGACGGACTCGTTTCCTTGAGATGTAAAAAAAGAAATACAACTTTATATTTGAAAAATCGTAAAATTCTGTTTATTTCCCTTTTATGATGATGTTAAATATGACGTCACTTCAATGTCGTTATCGTGGTTATTTTTATCACAACATGATAGTAAATATCGGCATCATTAAACAGTTTAAATTTTAGGCTTTAAGACAGAAACAAATCAAAACACAGAAACATTCAGAGTTGATGCAAGATTATTGCTTAAATATGTCCGAAGCAAGGTATGTGTCCTGTGCATGGTGAACTCATCTTACTTCATTTAATTTCAAAAAGGAAACCACTGGCTGAATGAAATCGTCCCCCCCCCCTTTCAGAGTTCATGTCTGGACACCCCTCACAAAATGACCGACACCTTCCTAGAGTTTATACCAAATCTACAGGATTTGGAGACTGTTCCTTCGCCTCGAATAATGGCATCCCATCTTCCAGTTAAATATATTCCAAAGAAAAACAATGGAAAATTATCCAATCCATTCGTAACCCGAAGGATATTGTAGTGTCCGCTTTTCATCATTATACTAAAGATCCATTTATCAAGGACTACGTGCCTCTTGACTGGCCCACCTTCTTGGACGATTTCTTACGAGGGGGTACGTTGAATTCATTGTTGTCTTCTGATAATATAATGTCTTTCATTTGACACATCTTTATTTTATTTTCATTTTGAATGAATAACTATAGCGAGTGTTTGATCGGGAATACAAGCAAGTACTTTTCATGATTGCTCCAAAAGGAGAGTATAATGCAATTATTATTGCATAAAGGGGGCAGGGCCTAAATTATACGGAAAATGCTTACTGTGACATCACACAGAAATAGCAATTCCTCACAATAACAGAAAATGAAATAATTTGCTATTTTAACTGCATAAGAGTAATGAACTACAAAACGTACCACTGCATTCATTTTTATTGCTAGTTAAATCCCACACAACAAGATATATACAAGTCACTGATCGCAATGCACTTGTCGATATGGTGTCACCATGATAAAATTTGACACATCTTTTGTACAGAGAGAGTCAGGTCAAGTATTTTTTTCACAGCGAAAAATACATTTTATTATTAAAGAGAATATTATTCGCAAATGTTAGTAAGGACCATTAATACAAATCTGAAACCTTTGTTTACTGCCATTATTTAAAAACTATCGAGAGAATGTATTGAATTAATTCTATCGTGTCTTTGATACATTTTTTTGCATGTTTCACGCCGAGTGCTTTATTAATCGTCTTTTTGCAAGGTCTTTTTACACTTAATAGATCTTGACCATTTTTTTTTTATATACATAACGGTCATATTCCTTAACTTGAAAAGTGCTGCTGCTTTCCTGAAAACGAGAGCATTACTTAATAAATACATAAAATACTTGGTAAAGGTCACACATATTCGACTAGAGCTTTGAAATTTAAACTAATGAAATGCAAATTCTATTTAAAGCAGCAGATTTTTCCATAAACAACAAGATATGTAGAAACAAATTATTACTTAAATTTTTAATTTTAATTTAATTTGCCCTTGCGATATTGAAATTTGTTCATGACCTACATATAGTACACATTACATACATTTATCACGTGGCTGTTAAATAACGTGACCAAAGCAAATTCAATACAGGGCGGTGTATACAATGTTATTTCAATTAATATTAAAGTCATAAGATAATATAGTAGCTTTAAATAAATAAATTCAGTTTAAAAAAGGTATGTATTTATGCACGTTCATTTTCCGTTGATTTCTTCGTAGTACGCCTTAACAGAGCTGCGTGTCATATACATTCTTTGTTAGAAATATTCATCTAAAGTTTAATTTTAAACAGACTGTTACTATGGAAGTTAGTTTGAACGAGAGATAGAGTGGGAAGAAGCAGCACGACAAAATCCCGAAACGATACTGATTGTCTATTATGAAGATCTTAAGAAAGTATGTTCAACAAAAGACTTTTTGCATTAACATCCCCAGGCATTCTGTTGTAATTAATGCCACTTTTTCTTTAATTAAAAGATACTGGATCTATGTTGTTTTAATGTTTGATTTAGAATGGGATGGAGACAATGCGACTGATATCCAATTTTCTAGGAACCTCGTCTGATCCTAAATTTCTTCAGGCTGTTTATGATGAATGTACATTTGCGAAAGTAAAGGAAAGAGAAAAGGATTCAATATGGAACTTTATCTACAGAAAAGGTTAAAACTTAAAGTTTCTAAATCTAAGATGAAATATCTTTCAAGAAATGCATCCATTTAAAAAGTATACAAATTTATATAATAAATCTTCTGAATTTTCGCATCCATACTTTAGGAGAGGTTGGTGATTGGAAATCGATGTTTACTGAGGAACAGAATAAGAAGTTTGATCAGGTGTTCAATGAAGAAATGAAGGGTTCAAAATTAAAAATACAATGGGAGTAAATGGTTTTTAACAATTTTCGAAGGACTTTGTATATTTATCAAATTTTTCCCGACATCTAACTTGTAAAGGATGCTTATGTATTCCCTTATAACCAATATTAACAATATTATATGGAATAATTTAGAAGCATAAATTGTAGTTGTGTGTGGCATTTTTGCGACACATGTACGGAGTAAAATGGAGAAAAATGTATAAAAAGGAAACATTGTTTGCTAAAATTTAGGTTATCAACCATATAAACATACGTAAATAATCTGTATTATTTCTGATTATTAAAAAACCCCACATTTACAACTTGTTAAAAAAAATATTAGAACCAATTCTGACAAAATCACTTATGTACCAACAAATACTTTTTAAAAACAATATTTCATTATTACAATTTAGCAGTATACATTTTGAAAAACTCTACAAAAGAGAATTGACTATCTGGAAAATGTGTTTGTTATCCGATCACTAATATAGCACAAATACTGAACAATTTTCCGGGGCAGGGAATTAATTATAAAGGGGGTGATATTCTAAACATGTTAGAAGATTACTACACTCATTCTGAGGTAAATATTTAATCACTTAACTCTAGCTTCATCTTTGAAATTTAGTGAGTTTATTCAAAACTAGAATAAACAAACGCAAAGGTTAAAATTCGTTAGCCTTCTGCAAATATTTCAATATGCACTAGAAAAAGACACAAATCCAGATAAAATCACCTTTCATGTTTACGCAAATAAGAAAATTTATTAAAACAAAGCTGTAATGGATTCATGCTACAAAAATTTGAATTTCTTTCCAGGTTAGAGAGCTTTTTTTTACTGACAAGTAAGCAACAGTTGATGAAATAATAGATAGTACGAGTGCTATCGTTAACAAATTTTAAAGGGTGCCCCCTCTCTCTCTCTCATTCTTTAAAGAAGCAGTGACTGTTAATTCTCAACTTTTAACTTGGAATTTGGAGATCGATCCAGACATTTATGCATTTGAAAATAAGTGCTGCATTTATTAGGGAAAAGAGAATCAAAGATAATGGATTATTGATCGAAGCAGCTTAAAAGTTTTATAGTTGAATGCTTTTTCATTTTTATTTTGTTTTAAATGTCATTCATTACGAAAGGTGCACTGTAAAACGTACTTTTTCCATGGGGCCAATTCTTCAATTCGCGGGTATAAAATTACGCAGATTTTTTGGATTTCCCATTGTGTGTTTTAAATGCATATTAAGTGCAACGTGAAAATTTGGGACATTGCATCAATTATTTCCAGTTGGGAAAAAGTATGCCTACAGAATTACGTAATACTTTTTGACCTAAATAATTGTGCAGAACGGTTAAGTTTTGTTGTTAACAAAACCTTGGAACTGCCTAAAACTTGTTGTTTCAGCAATTAAGCACGTCTGGACTGAAAAGGTGAGAGAAGAGTGGGTCAATTTAACTTCAGTTTTGCATGTTACTTTGATGAAACAGTTTATGATTTTATGATGACAACAAAGCAAAAGTTAAGAGTGGACGGACTGCTAGTTCCACCATTTTCGTCATTTCAAACCCTAACTGACGCCCGAAAACGAATTGCAGATATTGTAAATTTACCTACAAGGAAAGATGACGTTTTTGTTATTGGCTATCCAAAATCAGGTACGTTAACGTTTTAATTAACTTTTTTAAATAACAGACGAGATTTTACTGATACAAAAAATGTATATCTATTGATACAAAATACATTCTGAATTTCGGAAGTTTCGGGAAAATATTTATTTGATAGGTGAATACATAAATATTGTAAATTTGAAATGCGTTGAAGTTTAGAAATAAAACACTTTTTCTGATTATTAATCTACTTGTATAAGTGGATACACATCTGTAGTTTGGGTATAGATCAAAGAAATACATGTAGCTTCTTTATGTGGCCGAATATAAGCCTTGCAATAAAAAAAATGTCTTAACATTTGATTTGCAATTTAATAAATAATGCCACGGATCTCTATCTTTCTAATCCATGCGTAAAAGAATTATTTGATAAGAAGACTTTAGGATATTACATTCTCTGAGAAAATATTTGCTTGTTCACACATCTAACTTGGGGAAAAAGGGGGGGGGGTGGCAAAAAGAGCGGAAAATGTCTATATTCAGTTCACAGTTTAAGAGGTATGTTTGCAAAGTCTGACACCTTCAGCACGACATTTTAGATTGAATAATGGATATTGAATTGTTTGAATGGACTTTAAAGCTTGAATACTGTTCGTTATCTCCATATTTCATATAGAGGAGAAGTCGAGAGTCAACTTGATTATCTATATTAACTAAGAATTACAGTACCCGCAACGTTTTTCTTGACTATGCTATCGTGTCCTATCGTGTGCATTTCCTATCGTATCGTGCGTGTATCTTATCAGGTTTTCCGTATATCGTATCGTATATGGCGTTTATCAGGTTTTGCGTTATCAGATTTTACGCTGATCGTGTGCATTTGGAAGGCATTTAATTTTACCACCATTTTCACAAAAAAGATCGAGGTATTCCTTTCTGCATTAATTGTGAATTTAGAAAAAAGAAAAAAAAACGAATAAACAGTAATCCACATTGTAAAGAAGAAGAGAAGGAAAGCACGATCAATGTAAAGTTTTCAGTAAATCCACATACCGTACCATCAGGATTTTGTTCAAATTATTAGAGCTCGCTCCGTGACTGGAAGGTCGTGGGTTCGAACCTCGGCCGCAACTGACCTAAGTCAATAAAAATAGGTAGCAACTATTCCAACGCGGGTATGTTAAGGCTACACCCAGAGATATCCTACTTGCCTTTATAATGTGACGTCATAGTAAGCTGTATGACGTGAACTTTAGAAATAATGATTTCTTAATATCTATATTTCAAGTTTAATTTCAGGTTAAAGAAATGAATGGAATCATTCAAAACATAATATAAACTAAATCTTGTCGTTTTTGGGTGATATAAATAGCTAAGTATTTAGCACGGGGGTTAAATACCAAACCCATGACGTCATAACTATTGATCAAATATTTGCCGAGTGAAGTTAAACGTGACGAGAATTCATGTAAACAAATAGATGAAATGGGAGTTTTAAAGCATATACGTGAATGTTATGTGATTCATAAGGAATTAAAGATTAAAAATCAAGTACGCTGATATATTCTTATCATGTTTTCTTAAAATGAACACAGGCAGTGCTTTGAAAGTCCGATCAGCCTTTTCTCTGTCGTTCTATAACAACAAAGATGCAAAAGTTCAACACTACGCCGCATACTTTGAAACAAATTTTTTGTTTGTATCGAAAGCTTGTATTCTATAGTACTTGGAAAGTGCTGCTAGAATCGTGTGGTTAACATGAATTGATAACATTTCCTTGATCGTATGTATAAAATGTAAAATTTTGGTAAGGTTTCATGTGAAACTTTGGAATATTTTTTTCTGTGTCGGGAGAGTAGGATTCTAGCAGCACTTTTCAAGGCCCAGTGATGTTTTTTCATAATAATTTTCACTAAAAGAAATGAATTAGCTCCGGGGTAGTGTTGAACTTTTCACTTTTTCATTAAGGCAGTTTTTCTATTTATAGACGTCACGTGATGACGTCGTAGTGGAGTGTTTCTTTTAGCCTAATACTCAGTGACGTCTATAGAAGGAATAATAATAGTAAATGTTTTATCCATGACTTTTCCGATTTATCAATGTTACATTTTACGAAAAAAGTCTATGATCTGGGTACTGCCTTAACATACCTGCGAAGCGTTCGGCACTATGACGTGAAAGTTGCAGGTCTTTCGTATGAGACCTTAAAAACCAAGGCCCCGTGTCACGACAGACGTTGGCACGATAAAGAATCCTCACTGCTCAATGGCCCTGAGTGCAGAGTAAAGGTATAAATTTGAAGCCCTTCACTGGTAAATGGTGACGTCTATATATGAGTGAAAAATTCTCGAATGGGAAGTAAAACAACATAAGATCAATCAATCAAGTGAAAGAGGGATTATTTACTGGAAAGTTAGTAAAAGTTTTCATAAACGATGGCATAAAAATAAAATTTATTTGAGATGCAATAGTTCGATAGTTATTTTGATGCTTTATTTATTTATTCATTCTGTTCACAGAAAATAACTGATGAAATAAGACTAATTAAAAAAATTTTTTTTGTTATGCCAAACAGTGCTTTTATCCCGGGAAGAAAAAAGGGTAACAAATAATTTACGTCAAATTTGAAGAAATAATGAATGAGGAAACTAGATTTTTTTTACATTTAAAAGTTCTAATTATACCCTTTTAAAAAAAACTCTAACCCCTCCTTTCCCCCACCCGGTAAAATTCTCTCAAGGCAAAAAAAAAAAAAAAAAAAAAAAACAAAAAAGTAAAAAAAATGAAATAAAGTAGATGTAAAAGGAGGGCTGTTTTATGAAAATATTTAGTAAATTAAGTTTCAACGTTTAAACCCTATTTCTTATAACCTGTAAAGGTCTGTCCCTCGATAGAAGTAACAGATTTTTACGCAATATAAATTTAATTTAAAACAAAAATTACATGTAATGATTTCATAAATTTATCTGGCCTTAATGTTTCGTGCATAGTCTCCCTAGAAGTCGTATCTACAATTTCAATTCTTAGTTTTTGGATGAGAAAGCATGATGTTTGTCCATAAACATTTAAAAAAAACCTTATCCTCCTTTAGTTTTGGTCCAAACATTACAAGAAATTTCTTTAAAAAATCTTTCAAAACGCTAGTCCTCCAACAGTATTGGTTCATTAATTTCAATCAGATTTTGTACACTTACCAGGATACATACTTCTGAGTATCGGTTTTTCATTTCGACAAAGGTGTTGTCATGTTAACTAAAAATGATTTTTCTGGAAATTCTTTCAAAATGCTACTCCTCCTACAGTTTTGGTCTAATTTGGGTAGGCCTTGATACGCAAGTACACTATTCTAAGATACATTATTATTCTGTCAATGTGATTTTGATTTCATCAAACAGTGTTGCCACGTTTACTAAAAATAGAAGTTCCTTTAAAATTCTTTCTAAACTCTACTATTCCTACAGGTTTGGTCCAATTTCAATAAGACTTAGTACACAAGTATACCATACTAAGATACATCAGGTACACATCAGTTGGGCTTCAGTCTCGTCATTTTTTTTATACGAAATTGGAAGTTAATAAATATTGAAATTATCCCACAATTCGATCAATTTTGCCCATATATATAATCTTTTCAATTAGCAAACAGCGTCCCAGTGCTACATTGATTGAAAAAAGAATAATGGTATTTCTATTAAAGTCATTAATGTTTGATATTTTTTTCAACTTTAACGTGTAAAACAAGTTTTATCTTTTTTGATATTTCTTTCTGAGACTACATGCTTGTCAGGTCGCGCAAATTGAAAGAGATAACGAACTTCAAATCTAAATCAAGTAAAATTAGGAAAAGAAGATACATACAAAAATAGATGCTTAAATATTTAAATATAGACCTATTTTGATTGTAAAATAAGCAAATATCATATTTCTAAAATATTAAGAAATCGTAAACATTATACGATGTTCAAAATTCTACCTTTTTGCAGTCATCCTTACATGAATATATCGATACATTTTTTTTTCACTTTATGGGACATTATTGTGAAAAATTAAGATATATACTGTTAAATTCATTTCACTTATACAAACATGACTTTTTTTTTGTTCATGAATTATACAAAAACTGTATCATATGTCCTTTATCAATATTCAGGCCTATTTAAAGCTTAACACGATTCGTAAAGGAATGTATCCGCCATATTCGATTGGTCTCTGGCTATATCTGAGGGCCTCTAAATAAAGCCGCTTCACTTAGTCACTGTTCAGTGTAATCAATCGTCACCGGTGTAGACGGACGTATGCTATACAGCATATGGAAGCGACAAAAAATAACTGTGTGCTTCTTCTAATCAAAATGCAGGAGAATAAAATACATGTACCAAAGAAACTTACAACAGTTGCACAGGTCAGTGCAGTATACAAACAAACACAAATACTACGTTACTGCAATAAAATGTAAATAAAGGTAATGCAAGATAATCAGCACGAACACGGGTCGTCTTTCTACGCCGACACCCGTGACAATAAAGCAGTCAGGTGTAACGAATACGAAGAGTATACCCCGGTGCTGATATCGTAGATAGTAATATCGAAAATGGCTACTGGACTTTTGCGAGAAGCGCTGACTTTAACAGTCGATCGACGGCTTACTTTTACACTAGGTCAATATACGGAGGCTCTTTTGCCATATAAATATTTAGCTTTAATTAAAAGGTAATAATGGACAGTTTCAAAGCACAGATTACGTTGTCTAGGAAGGGAACTGCAACCACTCTATCCTCAACCCTCTCCCTTTCCCCCTTGACCAATTCTTGTCAAGTTTTACTTTCGAAATGTTTTTTCTTCCTTATTTAATTCCTTCAGCAATTGAGACTGAAAAGAGATACTACCCCTCACGAATAACATATTTCAAGTTATGTTATTCTGCCTCCCATCATCTCTTGTGTAGATGTATACTAGTAAATCAAGTATGCGCCCCTAACATCATACCTATAACCACTATTAATGTTTTCTTATCTATTATCAATTCCGTACCCCCGTACATAACGCAGGTTTAAATGTCAAAGTAAGCCGTCGACTGTAAAAGTCAGCGCTTCTCGCAAAAGTCCATTTACGAGTCGTGTTCAGCTTTAACATGGAAAAATAACAGAAGGAGACGTGATTTGTTTCTATTAAATAACAAGCAGGTACATGTATTTGAGTCGCTTACGCCAGCACTGCAGCTATTAAACATACACAAAAGTCCAGTCCGGCGAATGCCAAGAAGAACAATGATTATGCAAACAATACGATGTCCTTAATTTGTCGAAAACAAATGTATACATATTGCACGATTCTCATGTCCTGTTAATGAGGTGGAAAATATGTGTGATTTCTTTCGTTTGAAGAACGAATTAGACAGAACTCAATTTCTACTTGGTAATAATAATGAATGGATTAATCTGGATATTTAAAGTTTTCAATTCGAATACCTGTAAAGGTATGTTCAGTCATGCGGTTCAATAGAGAGATAGAGAGTTGTTTGTTAAGGCCAGTTTTGGACAAGCACAGCTGGTAACACGTTCAAAAACATGCAGAATTATTAGATTTTATGAATCCAACTTACATTTACATGTTGTTATTTAATAATATATGTACTGTTAATACGAGTACATGAAAGCTGCTGCGTGTCGTTGCTAGTCCATTAAATGTGTTGTGTTCTTTATTATTACTGATTTGGTATCAGGAATGAATACGTTTTAAAGGAGAAGTATACATATGCACTGGTAATAAAGCTATGTTTAGAAAACGGAAAATATTAACGCATTTTCATGCTTTGCAACATTACTTCTGCTTAAAATACATATGCGCATCTTATGTAGTCATGAAACACATGAAAATTATAAAAATTAGTAAAATTAGCAACAAGTCTTCTATCAGTTTGTTTACATATCATAAAAGGGAAAAAGAAATACATTGAATTACTAAGTAAAAAAATGAATACTTACATGTACGTACATAAATAATATTTATCAACGAAATAAAAAAGCAAGTAATGAAGATACATGTAATATTTCGTTTTGTAAAACATTTATCTCTACTTTAATTTACCAATCATGTATCCTACCAAGTTTTGCTTTTATCAGGTTTTGTGTTTATCGTGTTTTGCGTTTATCAGATTTTGTGTTTATCGGGTTTTGCGTTCATAGTGAAAACTATTAATCCTGTAGGACCCTGTGGGACTTCTATTGTATCTTGCATGTATCCTATCGTATAGTATAAAGGGGATGAAGGACACATGGTCACATGACTCTGTTTAACTACGTCATAGTCTCCGTTTATATAAGTGCAAAACGTGTAAACCATCAGTTCCTGTAAAAAATTTTGACAATTTGTTTTACTTTAATTACCATCTTATATATATATATATATATATATATATATATATATATAAAAATAACATTCTTGTAAACTTTAACAAATTGAGGAATGTTTGATCCACTCCTCTGTTTCCCTATGCTGCGCGTCCAACAAGTCGGTGACGTCATACAAGATCTGATAGTACAGCAAGATCAAACTCGATGAATACACTGGCATGATTTTTATGTAAAAAGAGGTTATAATCAGTATATGATGAGATATTTTGAGAACTGGAGAACATAAAAATTGTTTTTGCATTGCTGATAACGGGCATCTTATGAAGGCATATCTTATTTCGCTTATTAAGCTTTCCTGTGACGTCATAGTTGGTTTTTCCCGTACTCGAGAAATATAAACATGACACGCTTTGGTCATGCTTATGTCTTGTTTAATTAACGATGTCTCTTACAATATTGAGGTCAGCTTCACCATTCGATATTTTTACAGTCAATCAATAAAATGGAGGACTTGCATTTCAACGTAAATTTTCAAATATTGAATGATAGAATTTTATGCAAATTAAGTTTATTGTTGTTTAAGTTGTCTTTAAAAGTACGTAATTTTCCTAAGTTGTCTTTAAAAGTACGTAATTTTCCTAACCCAGATGCAGTGTAATAGAAGAAACCTGTTTTTTTTTTTTTTTTAGAATTTTAAACCCCATTCATACTCTGAAATATTTTAAAAGATGCATGTCCACTGACATATTTTTTATCTATGCTTAAAAAATCCCAGTATGGACAGAGTAATGGGCCCGAAAACATGGAGAATCAAAACTCCACTTGGACACTGTAGACCATAGTATTTGTCGATCAATATCTCTAAAATGAGGTAGGAAACCTAATAATTTAACTGCTTTAAGATATGAGGGACATACTAAATAAGAAATATACAAAATGTGAAAAAAAAAATGAATGACAAGTAATTTTTCAGCTGAAGGTCCTTCTTCCCCTTAAATATGGAGATATCAAACAGTAATCACGCTCAAAAGTCCATTGAAGCAATACAAATCGGGAGCTGAGCAAAAACCTCTAAAACATCAGGTGCATCATAAAAGTTTTGTTTTTAGGTTACCAAAAACGTCTTTTTCCAATACAATATCCAGATATGAAACAGATGTGTCAGACTCTGTGGTATCTCTTATTGTAAGTTCACTGGGCTATATCGAGTCGACATATCAATGAAAGGAACTATTATTAATTAATAATAAGTCGTCTATATATCTAAATGTCGAGGCCACGGCAAGTGTTTTCTTCTTCTCATGTATATTTTTGAATAAATTCTGCTTCATATAAATCCAAAAATAGGTCTGCTGATAACGGGGCGCCAGTAGTACCCATGGGAAACCTTACAGATTGTTGGAAGATCTGATATCCAAAAACTACATAGATATTGTCAATCAGAAACTCAAACATATTTTTAATATCTACTTCAGAGTACTTTTGTGTACAATCAGAATACTTTTTAACAAAATGATTTTGAAAATAACCAATGGAAAGGTAAGTTAATTTACGAGTTCCATTTTTATTGGAAAAGCAGCTGTTTATGATGTCAAAAAGCCTGGACTTTAATATTTTTGTACCCTATCCTATCGTATATCATGTCAGGAATAACGTTGCGGGTACTGTATTAGCAATTCAGTAAAAGTAGGAGAATGATACTCATACATGTACAATCATTTTCCTTCTGACAACTTCATTTTTGATTGGTTGTATTGAAAGATACTAAAGAGTTATGTTATTGAATGAAAAGAGGAGAAAAATGAAAATAATAAAAAAATATTTGATGTTGAAAGTACAATAACATAGAAATTAATGGTACTGGCAAAATTATGCATTTTTGAGAGGCCCAAAAATGCACTGAATCTATATGCTCCATTTACTATAATAGCGCTGTCTTCTAGTTAATGGAAAGGAAAAGATGATTTAACAAAGAATATCCTTACATGCAGAAAATTTCTTATTTTACTATATGCTTTATGATTATTTTGGGTGTGTGTGAAATTGGACATCATGATAGTACTTCATTTAATTTCAAAAAGGAAGCCATTGGCTGAATGAAATCGTGCCCCGCCTTCAGAATTCATGTCTGGACACCCCTCACAAATTGATAGACACCTTCCTAGAGTATATGCCAGATCTACAGGAATTGGAGAATCTTCCTTCGCCTCGAATAATGACTTCCAGTGTCCCAGTTAAATATCTTCCAAAGGAAAACAATGGGAAAATTATCCACTGCATTCGTAACCCGAAGGACATTGCAGTGTCTGCTTTTTATCATTTCACAACCGAACAAATAAGCAAGGACTACTGGCTTCCAGAATGGCCAACTTTCTTAGACGATTTCTTACGTGGGGGTATGTTGAAGTCATTGTTGTTTTCTGACAAGATCAAATCGTTATCATTTGACCCTTAAGATCACAGTGGTGCACTTACAATGTACTAGTGTTTTGTCCATAATCCTGTAGTTTCAATATGCTACCAAAAACAAAATTACTAAGAACGCATGAATAGATTACCTGAGAAATTATAAATGTCCTATTTATTCTTTGGTGAGATACTACTATTCATTTAATATTTTATTTAAACAGAGATTTATTACGGAAGTTGGTTTGAACGAGAGAAAGAGTGGGAAGAGGCAGCACGACAAAATCCAGAAAAGATTTTGATTGTTTATTATGAAGATGTTAGGAAAGTATGTTCGACAAGAAACTTTTTGTATTTACTTCCCAAGGCGTGCTGTTGAACTTCATGCCGTTTATTCTTCAAAAGATACTGAACCTATGTTTGTTTTAATGTTTACTGTAGAATGGTACGGAGACGTTGCGACGAATATCCAATTTTCTTGGAACCTCGTCCGATCCTACATTTCTTCAGGCTGTATATGAATGTACCTTTGAGAAAGTAAAAGAAAGAGAAAGGGATTCAAAGTGGAGCTTTATCTACAGAAAAGGTTAAAACATAAAATACTCTGAATCTAAATTGAAATATCTTTAAAGTTATAATTTCAATTGCTAAATATAGAATTATGTAAAGAAAAATACTAGTATACATTTTTTTATATTACACGTTCTGTATTTTTATATTACACGTTCTGTATTTTTGTATTCATACCACAGAAGAGGTTGGTGATTGGAAATCGGTGTTTACTGAGGAACAGAATAAGAAGTTTGATCAGGTCTTCAATGAAGAAATGAAGGATTCAAAATTAAAAATTCAATGGGAGTAAATGGTTTTGAACAATGTTCAAAGACTTTTGTGCATTCATTGAATTTGCTTCGTATTTTAAACTTATAAAGGATTCTTTTTTATTCCTTAATAACCAGTATGAACAAAATATTGTTTTATTTGAACTATTGAAAGCAAAAATATGAGTTGCGTGTGACTTTTTTACAACACATGAACTGAATAAAATGGAGAAAAAAATGAATAAAAGGAAATATTGTTAAATAAATTCAAGGTTATCATATAATTTAGGAATGACTCTAATTCTTGGCCAAATTATTCAAGTATAATCTGGTTTGGGTCAGTTTACGCTTTATAATCCGCGAAGCGGATTATAAAACAGCGTAAACTGACCCAAACCAGATTATACTTGAATAATTTGGCCAAGAATTAGAGTCATTCCTTGTAATTTAATTTTAAAATCATTAAATAACTATGGGTGTAAAATTTCGTTGCTTTTTATTAGTTCAAATTTGCCGCTCACTAATACAACCGTAGTAACGGAAATGATGGGAAGCAAGGGGAGGTAAAAACTGATACATAGGCCTAGCAGCCTTGTTGTTTGTTTACATGTGGTAAGATCGAATTATTGTTTGAAGTTTAAGGTACATTTATTGAATCTGGAATTTTCCATGAATTCCGAGGACTGGAATTGAGAGGATTGTATGGATACAGATGATTCAGCTGGTTGTCAGGGGGGTGTGTCCCCATACCAAACCAGGTTATACAGAAATAATTTGTGTTCCTTTTTGGATATTAACCAATCAGAGGCTAGAATACAAACAAAATTATATTATAGAGACATAATCTGCATTCTTTCTGATCATTTTACAAAAAATGCAAAACCACAACGTTAAGAAAGATAAAAACCAGTTCTGACTTGATCACAAATACATGATATCGCTAACAAAGTAGGTTTTAATAAAATATTTTATTTGTATGTACATTAAAGATTTATAAATGTTAAAATTCAGCAGTAATCATTTTTAAAAAGTCTAGAAAAAGAAGCTTACTATCTGAAAAATTTGTTAGTTAATCTTTTGTGGACTCTTCCTCTTGAAGGTTTATGCAGCCTTTAAAGCATCTATGTATATTATTTTGCCAATATATTTGCAAATATTTAATAATATGATGCAGGAGAATAAAAGTGTGGTTTTGAACACATTTATACTTTCTTTAATTGATTTAATTGAGAGGACTACTGTAGATCCATTATTTCACGCAAGTACTTAATATCACGAAATTGATCTTGCCAAATCGCGAGGACAATAATTCGAGAGTAGCCGGTTGATCAAGATATTTTACTTGGATTTCAGCCCCATAAAAGTAAAGCGAGTAATTTTATTTTGCTAGTGGTGCTTCTCACGAAATCATGAGATAATTAATTCGCGTACATTCAGGAATCTACAGAATGTAGATCCGCCTGGTTAATTAAGCTAGTCTCTTTTGTTTGATCCCTATCTAATATTTTTTAAGTTTGAGGATACCTCTTTCATCCAACCACAGTCACTTTTATGTGTCACTATGTGTCATTAGAATACAAAAAAAAACCCAGGTCTGCTTATAAAGTAGCTCAATGTGTGACCATTGGGATTCAAAGAGATTGCTGGAAGAACTGGTCTCCTAATACATTAAAGAAATTGTTAATGAGGAACTCCAACATCTTGTAAAGTAAGCGTACTTTTCTTATAAAATCACAAAAAGAAATTAAACAAAGTAATTTTTTAGATGATTTGTTAGTTAATAAGAAAATTTCTACAATTTTCACAGAATGTTTTTGGAATTGAGTGTTTGTGACCAGTATCAAGTGGCAAGCTACCAAGTTGTATGTTAGCTGAGAGACAACACCATTTCGCTTTGTTCACTTAATTAATTACAGCACTAAGCAAATGACATATTTGTATATATTGAATAAATTACGCACTAGGCAAGTGTCCATTATATTTGTATATTTTGCTTTGATCTGTATATTTAGATCCCCCCCCCCTTCTGAAAGTGTTTTGCTCCGTTGTTATTTTTTATTTTGATCAAGGTTTTTGTTATTAAATGTCAATTAGAAATTTGTTGGCATCGATCACGGTCAAAGTTTTAGAGTTACTCCCCACGGCTGTTTGTATTAATAGTCGCGTTGCACTATTTTAGCACAGGAGCATGTGGAGAGTAAAGAAGCATGTGGAGAGTAAAGAGAGCAGATTAGATATTATAAGGACATTGAAAATCTGTGATATTTTCTGACAAATGCACACGTATTTGTTTGCGAAATATATTTAGAAAAGGGCCAATGAGAAGTCGAATTGGTGAATAACACGTAAAACAATAAGCGAAAAGTATTTGGATCCGCGCCCAATTTCATATAAGTAGTGATGACGTCTGTACTAATCTTCTCATAAAATCATTATTACAGTGTGCTAAATATTTTATATAAAAGGAATATTCTTTACACATTTTAAAGAATAAGCAATCAAATTTATTTAACGAATTTTTGTAAGTTTTGTGTGAGCTTTTGGTGTGTAAATCACACAGACTTGCACGTAGGCATATTTTTCATGAAGCGCTATCCCAGATTTCTACTTATCCTTATGACGTCCAGACGTCATAACTGCTTGTATGAAACTTGGCGCGGATCCAAATACTTTGTGCATACTGGTGCTTTAAGCGTTATTCACCACTTCTCATTAGCTGTTTTCTAAATATATAGTTTTCATTTGACCAACAAATACTTGTGCATTTGTCAGAAAATATCACAGATTTTCAATCTCCTTATAATATCTAATTTTTATTACACGTTCGATATTGTTAAAATTTTACACGTCCCATGGTGTCTAATTTAGCCTTTACTAAACAGTTCTAGTACTTGTAATGAGAAAAAAAAGTCCGCCGACAACCTGTTTATATGTATACGTAATAACTCTCCACATTCTCCTGTGCTATATAAAAATAGTGCCATGCGACTTTTAAAACAAACGGGGAGTCACTCTTAAGCTTTGAGCATGATCGATGCCAACAAATTTCAAATGGACCAAAATGAAAATAAAAACAATGGGATGGGATACTTTGAGAGGGGCGGGCGGGGCGAAAGGAAGTTAAAGTATAAAATTTCATTGTAAAAGCTCAAAAGCTTCTAGAGATATCGCCCGGAAACTAAAGTCTTACACAGAGACAGAACGTATGAATTTACGACCTTGATCTTACACCTTTTGACCTCACAATCAATAGGGGTCTTCCTTGGACAATAGGGAGTTTTGGTATAAAAATTTCATTGCAAAAGCTCAAAGGCTTCTTCATATATGACACGGAAACGAAAGTGTTAAAACAGACAGAATTTATGACCTTTGACCTTTTGACCTCAAAATCAATATGATTTTCCTTAGGCCGTAGGGAGTTGTTATGTAAAATTTCAAAGCTCAAAGGTTTCTCGAAATATTGGAAATTAAGGTGTTACAGACAGACAGAAATACACACAGACGGACACTCATACTCAAATTAATATTCCCCACTTTCAGTGAAGATGGGGGGGGGGAGGGGCGGGGGCAAAAAATGTCGCTAATAAAGGAGCATGATTTGTATGGGCCCATCAGTATTCCAACGGATTGTCGGAAGACCTGGTCCCCAAAGCCAACATAGATACAGTATTGTCAATGAGAAACACCAACATCTTTTTACCAACAACTTCAGAGTCAGAATGCTTTTTAGCAAAATACTTTTGAAGATAACCAATCACAAGGTAGGAAAACACGATTTCAATTTTTATTGAAGAGGCAGTTGTCTATGTCAAAAACCTTCTCTTTAATTTACTATGAGGAATGGTTGTACATGTATAAAACATGCAAAAGTCTTATGTTTTGATTCTTTTGATGTTTGAAAAGTTTTGAGATTTTAAATTTTACAAAAGTCGTTTGGAGTTTTTTTTAGAATCCACATTTTATTTACACCGCTTTTTAAATACCGGGTACGTTCTAAAACAATTGTCTGAAGTTTCTACTTCACAACAGTTAATATTTTGGTGAGGAGTAAGGATAGGGGCTTGGTTGAACATTTACTGGATCCTAAATTATATCTTTGTTTGAAAGGATTTTTATGAAGTTTTGGAAGCTAGTATAGGGACAGTAAATTAAACCCACTCCCATTGACTGAAACGTATGCTTCATTGGAACCCTGTCTCTTGCCAATAAGCTTACTGAGTTCTACTCCGCGTAACTTCAGTGATTTTTTTTTAATTAGGACTACTTATCAGTCTATAAAAAAATGGGGAGGCATCCTCTGCAAGTTCCTTGTGTTTATACACAGTCTTATAACGTTCTTTCTACTGTACTTCAGATTTTTGTTCCCCGCTTTCACTGAAAGTGGGGGATATTAATTTGGGTATAACTGTCCATCCGCACGTATGTTTAGCTGTCTACATTTCTGTCTGTGTGTAACAATTTCGTTTCCAGGCTATATCGCAAGAAGCCATTTGAAATAAAATTTAATTCACATCTTTCTATGGCCGAAAGAAGACCCCTATTAATTTTGAGGTCAAAAGGTCAAAGGTCAAGTTCATAAATTCATACATTCTGTCTGTGTGAAAAATGTTTGTTTCCAGACGATATCTAGAGAAGCCTTTGAGCTTTTGCAATAAAATTTTACACCACAACTTCCTATGGCATAAAAACAACCCTATTGGTTTTGACGTTAAAAGGTCAAAGCTATAAATTCATACATTCTACCTGTGTGTAATACTTTCCTATCCGGACAATATATCATGAAGCTTTTGTGCGTTTGCAATGAAATTTTATACCACACTCTCTATAGCCCCGCCCCCCTCTCAAAGTGTTTTGCTCCGTTGTTATTTTTTATTTTGATCAAGGTCTTTGTTATTAAATGTCAATTAGAAATTTGTTGGCATCGATCACGGTCAAAGTTTTAGAGTTACTCCCCACGGCTGTTTGAATTAATAGTCGCGTTGCACTATTTTAGCACAGGAGCATGTGGAGAGTAAAGAGAGCAGTTTATTACATATAATAAAGCTTGTGGGAGGACTTTACATAGTAAATCTATAAGAACTGTTTTGTAAAGGCAAATTTAGACACCATATGTTGTGTAAAAATATTAACAATATCGAACGTGTCAAGAATGAAAAATTGGCGTTTTAAGGAGGATGAAAATCTGTAATATATCAAACAAAGCACACGTATTTGTTGCTCAAACGAAAAATATTTAGTTAGAAAAAAGCCAAAGACAAGCTTAAGTGGTGAATAACACGTAAAACACCAATATGCACAAATTATTTTTTATCCTCGCCCAGTTTCATACAAGCAGATATGTGTGGTATGTACAAAATTTCTCATAGAATCATTATTAATGTGTAATTAATATTTTATATAAAAGGAATCTTCAGTACATATTTTAAACAATAAGCAATCTATCTATATGATTATTCATATTGGCATTTACGATGTGAAAATTTTGTTTAAAAAGATTGTCATGTAGATGTTCACAGAAATAGAAAATAAAAGATAAAATCTGCGCACACGCCACAATTCTTAAGCAAATTTGGATGAAAATCTAAACTTTAAACTTATATGGTCTTAGGGCCAAAAAGCTGAAAAGTCAAGGTTGACCTATTTTCTTCCACCATCAGCATTTTTTTTCTACCCAGAAATTTCTTGACAAGCAAAAACAAAACAAAACAAAACAAAAACAAAAAAACTAAACAAAACAAAACAAAACAAAACAAAACAAAAACAAAAACAAACAAACAGACAAACAAACAAAGCAAAACAAAGAAACAAACAAACTCCTCTCAACCGTGAAAAGCCTATTTCTTAACAGGGGTCCACGTTTTCAAGGGGGGATTACAAAGTCGGTTTTAATTTGCTTCAATATATACATTTAACAACTCTGCAAGTTCCACGGGGGGGGGGGAGACCCGACCCCCACTCATTTTTCCTTAAGTTGGGGACACAAAATCTCTGAATTAGCTTGTAGTTGATATAGGTAATTCCCTTAGGAGGTCAGTCAGTCAAACAATCACGTCTTTGTTTTTGTAGATTTCTCTTGGATCAGGAAGTCACACCAATAATAATCTATCATATTTTACCTTATTCCAGTAGTTGGTTGGAACTAAAAGGAACTGTTCAGTCCGACCCAGCCATAGACAACTGTTTCCTAATGTGTAATAATAGTACTGTTTATTTACTATCTACTCTATCTACCAACATATAACTTTATAATGAATTAGTATGCTTTTGTATACTAACGTTTTACATGATCCAGGCATTCATTCATTTAGAATATTAGTGCTACATTTATTAGAAGAAAAAAAAACTACCCAAAAGAAAATCAATTAATGAGCAAAGCAGCATTAACATTTCATGGTTGAATACTTTTTTCTCATTATATATTTAGTTTAAAACTTTATTCAATACCAAAGGTATATTACATAATGCTTTTTGACCTAAATCATAGTGCAGAACGGACCATTGTGTGGTAACAGAATCTTGAAACTGCCTTAAACGTCGTTATTTTAAGAACTCAGTACATCTGAACTCGCAGGGGTGAAAAAAATTTGTGTCAATTTAGCCTCAAATTGGTAAGTTACTTTGGCAACTAAGTACACCTGGACTTGCAGGTGGGAGAGAGGGGTGGGTCAATTTAAACTCAGTTTGATATATTACTTTGATGAGACAGTTTATGAATTTATAATGACGACAAAGCAAAAGTTAAGCGTAGACGGACTGATAGTTCCAGCATTTTTGCCTTTTCAAACCTTAACGGACGCCCGAAAACGAATTGCAGATATTGTGAATTTACCCACGAGGAAAGATGACGTTTTTGTTATTTCCTATCCAAAATCAGGTACGTGATTTCTATACATGTATAGTATTTAGCCTCTTTTTGTCCAGTACAATATATAAATATTTTAAATAGTCATTCTTTTATTATCTTTTTTTAAAATGACAGAATAGATATAAGATAAAGAAAGTGCAAGAAGTTGTGATACAAAATTCGTTCTGAATTTGGGAAGTTTCGAGAAATTATTTAGTTTTGGATTTAGGTAAATCTTTGTGAATACATAAATATTTTTTGTTTGATATTGTACATGCAAAGAGTGATTACACATGCATCTGTAGTTTGCCTGAAAGAGTATCTAACAACTGGATAAAAGAAACATTTCTTCATGTGGCCAAATATAAACCTTGCAATGAGAAAAGTGATTCGATATTTGATTTGCATTTAAAAATGTACCAGGATCTATATCTTTCTTATCTATGCCTAAAACGGTTATCTGATAAGACGACTAAAAATAACGCATAATATAAAGTCATGTTTATTTGTTTAACACCCCTTCGAGAATTTTTCACTCATATTGAGACGCCAGCACTTGTCAGTGGAGGCTGCAATTAATACTTGTACTCGGCACTTACTGCCTTTGAGCAGTGAGGGATCTCTTTCGTGACAGCACCTAATGCGATACGGGACCTCGGTCCAACCGCTGTCTCATCCGAATGACCGTTCTCCGCATCACACTGTGGATTCGAACCCGCGATGTAAGGTAAATCATATACGGTACCAATTATGATGCACCAGATATGCATTTCGACAAATTATGTCTCTTCAGTGATGCTCAAGCCGAAACGTTAGAAATCCAAAATATTTAAATAAAATGACTTTGAAAAGCTGAAAAAAGGTGTGCCAAAGACTTGAGCCAAATGCATCGAAGGATCAGAGCTACGTATGAGGGAGATAATCCTTAATTTTAAAATAAATTTCTGAATTATACCACAGCAATTAAATATATATCCGTATTTTCAAGCTAGTACCGAAGTACTTAGCTACTGGGTTCAATTCCTTACTTTAAAGCAAACGCTCTAACTACTGTGCCACGCGGGCGCCTATAAGGTAGTGGATGTTTGTGAATTGCGTTTGTACATATATGTAACAGGGGTGGTCGCGTGGTAAGAAAGAGCGGGAAATCTTGATATTTGGTCCAGATTTAAAGAGTTATGTTTAGAAAGCCTGACGTTAGGGATTACATTCTTATCCTTGATATAGAATGCAGATTGAATAACGCATATAGAAGTAAATTTGAAATTGATTAACTTTATGTGCTAAGTATTATCAGCATTTCAGCAAAAGTAGGAGTTTCCTTCTGACCACTTCATTTTTAAGCGCTTAGCGTAAAACGCTTATAGACAGCTTACAACTGCTTCCGATCCAGCGCGCCACTAAACAAGTTCGATAACTTTACTGAGTCTTCTAGAAATATACTTCTTGAAATCTCCGACTTTTTCAGCTATTTTGGTTTCACACAGTTACATGCAGTTCTAGTAATAGGTGTTAATCGGTATGCCCAAAATTGACCTTCATATTGTCTTCCCACATTTTTTTTTATTAAAATAGAAAATTTAGTGTTATAACTACTTACAGATCTTTCTGTTACCATCCTTGCATCATGTCTAGAGTTCTAAATATTGTAGATTTCGCATCTTTGTTTCAATGAGCAACAGACAGACAGTCTATATAGACTTGTATTGTGTAGTCTTTACTTGTAACATAGATAAAAATATTTCTGATGTAAAAGGCAGCATATGCATAGTGGCTATGTTTTCAAACAATCAACTAAGACAGGAAACTAACAAAATTTCCATTTCTAACAGGGATATCGATGAAAATTTGGTGCTTTTCAATTATGTGTGAAGAAATAAATTGCAAAAGGACAGGAATGGCGGTGATGTGATGTTATGTATACTTGTGTTAGGAACCTAGGAAGAATTCATATATTGTATATAAGGTTATAAGTGGGTTGAGAATTTGTAGGAATATCGGTTTAGCGACATTTAGAGGACTACATGAAAACGGAATAATACAATTTTATATCTCCATGGATATTAGGAGATATAGTTGAACCTATTTTATACATGTATATAACGAGGTTAATAAACAATTTTCAAAACTGAATTTTAGGTTGTGTAGAATGTTTTTCTAGAAATATGGAACTAACAGAGAAATAACAGGTCGATTATCTTTTAGTAGTCCATATCAAATGCCTTGAACACACTGGTCCTGTGTCCATGCTATTCTTATTATTGTTTGCGTGGTAGGTAATATAATAAATCGATCAGTAACAAATTAAATCACGCTCAACAACAGCCAATCTTGAATTAAAAATAAAAATTATAGCATACCACAAAATTGCTAGCACAGAATAAATTTATTGTTACGATTTTTGCAATCGGTGTGGCACATTCAAGAAAGTAATACTAGCGACATTTTTTAAGTGTTCAAAATTTGTTGAAATGTAACATTTATCCTGCTAATTTATTACTAAATGTACAATTTGAATTTGGTCGGAAAAATAATTTCCAACATTTTCTTCCTCCTTGCTTGCGATTTATACATAGAGCTAGGTCTTAAAGATTCCCAGGACCTTTAAGATTTCTACTTGTGAGGGGCGCTGGAAAAATATATTTTGAATTCTATATTTGCTTCTTCTTTCTCTCTTTTAGGATTTAGAACATGCGTTTATTTTGGACTGATTATCTACCACTTCCTCTATACTAGGTTAATGATTTTTTTAAAGATTATCTGTCAGTTTTATGTACATGTGATTGACCTTTTAATACATTACATTAAGTTTACTTTAAATAAAGAGGAAAAGACACAATGTTGAATTTCAAAATGTTAAAAATTTTAGGGAAAATTTCTAGCTGTTGAACTGTAGTTCATTCACCAGACAAACCAGAGAACTACAGATCCAACCTTTGTTAAAACCTTCTATTTACGGCGCCGCTTTTTGTCGCACTCTCTGGGCATTATTTCTTGTATTATATGCGTTTCCCCGCCGAAAGCATGGTATCCATTAAGATACTATATCCCCAAAAGCCTCAGATTTAATGAAAAATAATAGAATACTGATACATACATGTACCCCTTGAATTATAAGTGTATTTAGACATAATTCCCATTTACTGTAGAAGTATTTTTCCGCGTGGTATTAATTTACGCTAAGAACACGTTTACAGATTTTCCGCGGAAATCTCTCTTAATGTACTTAATGAAATATGGATGACAAAAAAAGTCAAGCTCATAAGTCCATTAAAACAAACCAGAAAGGGAGCAGAGCAAACACGGACTCTAAAACGGATCTCGGACCAGGTGCCCCGTCGATCAGTCAAACCCGCTGTATCTTCTTGTCCATAGAAATAATTCGGTGTGAAAATAATGTTCTAACAATTTGTATGAAAAACGAAATATTGACTTTAAACGAGACTGTTGATATGCTTGTTTCTTCAACTTATTTGTCAATAGCTAGAAATTGTTCATACGTAGAGGATGCTCTTGCGTATCAACTGGGAGATCTATACATAAATTCAATATGCAGGTGACAAGAGTATATTGCTACATAAATAAGGGAAGTTGACCATAGAAAAGTCATGTAGAAGTTTTTAAATGAATTCTGCTTCATGTTAATACAAAAATAGGTCTGCTAAAAACAGAGCAGAATAAGTACCCCTTCGAAATTCCGACAGATTGTTGGAAGACTTGTCCAAAAACTATCGATATAGATATGTTCTACAAGAATTTCAAGCATATATTTAAATATCATCTTCGGAATACTTGTGTGTATACTAAGTAATCAGAATGTGTTTGAAGAAAATAATTTTGCAAATGACCAATGACAAGGTAAGTAAAGTTACGAGGTATATTGAAGGTATATGGTGTTTATCTAAGAAATCCGCGTAATTCCCTATAGATTGAACAGAGATTTTGATTCCGTGGAATTACAATCCCTTGGAAAAAGTACGTTAAAAGTATTACATTCAGTATGCAGAGCAGTATGTGTCATAATTTGTGACCTTAGCATGACCTTACATTAGCTCAGTCGGTAGAGGCTCGCTCCGTGATCGGAAGATTGCAAGTTCTAGCCCTTGCCGCGAAAAACCTAAGTCGATAATAAAATAGGCATCTTAAAAACCGAGGCCCCTTATCAGGGTAGGCGTTGGCACGATAAGGATCCCTCCCTTCTCAATGACCCTCGGTGCCAATGCAGGTAAATGTCTAAATTTGAAGTGTATTGTTACGTCTCTATACGTGTGAAAAATTCTCGAATTAATGAATCAGCCCTTGAAGAGTTATTTCCATTTGTCTCTAATCAATAAAAATCAATTTTAAAAAATCTAATTTCAAATTGTTATTCTACTCCAAATTAATAAATACATCTTTCCATCGCAGCATTTTTGATATTCTTAATATTTCAATTTTTATTTTTTTAGAGATTTACCCGTCCCCACAAACCTCAATGCGATCTTCATTGATCAATTTCTGTTTAGGCAATTACAACTCATATTTTAAAAATTCTTGTGGTACACCATGTCTACTGTAAAACGCTTTAAACTAATATCAGAGTATTTTATACATGATGGATATTTAAGGATAGAGAATTAAGTTCTATCAGGGAAGGAATATCTTAGTTGTCAATGTGTTTCACTCCTAATCTTGTTACTTCGGTCTTGGAATATCAATTAAAAAACCGCATTCCGATTTCCATGTTGGGGTTATACTAAAGTACGCCTAGAAAATTTTCACGCCCGTGTTTTATATATCTTATTTCTTTTTAATAACAAATTGAATACATTCGGTAAGGCGTGAGAATAATTTAAAACAGAAATCCCATGTAAACACAGGTATTTTGTGTTATGAAGTCATTGAATATTGAGAATGGTCATGCTAGTTCAAATCACTGAACTGAAGTTTATTCTTAAACAGGAAAACTCAGAATTGTAATTGCGGCTAAACCTCTTTTATCTGAATGTTCTATTTTTTAGCATAATTATGTTGACGTTAGGGAAGAATAAAAAAGCTCGTACTTATTCCGGTACAACAGAAAATTTAAATTTTAACTACATATTGCACAACTGCATTTTTAAAATCCATTGTTTATCGCTTCCTTGTACTTTCAGTAACTTGATTGATTAGGGCTACAATTTTTGTAAAATATCTGATTTTCTCTAGGCTTTGATATACATTACATATGACTGTATATCATTCTTGATGATTGTTGAGCAAAGTTGATAATTTGTGTCGTATAAAATAAAATATATGGAGATAACAAAAAGTATTCATGCTCAAAAGTTTATTCAAACAATACAAATCAGGAGCAGAGAAAACATGGTCCTCTGAAACATCAGAAGTACATGAGATCAGGTGCCATGGAGAAGTGAGCATCCCCTGCCGACCGGTCACTCCCGGCGTGTGCTCCTTGTCATGATAATAGCAGAAAAGTCCGTCGACAATTTATTTTGTAAATTATGGCCTAACAAGTAGTTTGAAAAACGTCAGTCAGCATTTGACTTCATGATAAATTGTGTTTGCTGACAAGGTCAGATGAAACTTGAATTGAAGCAAGATCATGTCAAATAAGAATCAAGAGGAGTATATGTGGTATGGTACAACAGGGCAATTATTGTTTACTTCCGGATCGTTAATAGTCTATCCTCCTTCGGTTATCTTTTTTTACCCATAGATGCTGGAAAATTACACATTTTCAGATTTCTTCTTTTTGTCTTTTGACAGATATTCTTCTCCAGAGGGAGGCACAAAATGTTAGAAAATGTTAGATGAATACGAAATCTGCACATAAACGTAGTTTGACGAATTACATGTTATAATAACCCGTCTGAAAGATACATAAAAGAGTTATGTATATGAATGAAAAGATGAGGGGAAAAAAATGAAAAAAATATTTGATGTCGAAAATACGATGATATGTAATTGTAACTAATGGTAATGGCAAAAATGTGTGTTCTTGAAACTCCGAAGATGCATGGAATCTATATACTCTGTTAAATATATATTTGCACTGTCTTCTATTTAATGTTAAGGCATCCTCTGGATGATTGAAAAAAGAACATCCTGACATGCATAAACCTTTAAAAAAATATTTATTTATTTATTTATGATGATTCTTTTGGAGGAGATGTAGGGGATGAAATTGGAAATTATAATAATACTTTATTTAATTTTAAAAAAAGGAAACCATTGGCTGAATGCAATCGTGCCCCGCCTTCAAAATTCATGTTTGGACACACCTCACAAACTGTCAGAAAAATTCCTGGAGTTTATACCAGATCTTCAGGAATTGGAGACTGTTCCTTCGCCTAGAATAATGGGATCTCATCTTCCAGTTAAATATATTCCAAAAGAAAACAAAGGAAAAATTATCCATTCCGTTCGTAATCCGAAAGACATTGTATTGTCTGCTTTTCATCATTACACAACCGATCCATATGTGAAGGACTACGTGCATCATGACTGGCCCAGTTTCGTGGACGATTTCCTACGTGGGGGGTAAGTTAAATTCATTGTTGTTTTCTGACAATATCAGTGTTATTTGACCCTTATTGTCTTGAACTGCAAATCTTTATTTACTTTGCATTGTGAATGAAAAGCTATAGCGAATGCGTAACTTGTTTACTTTATTGGGAATACATGTAAGTATTTTTCATGATTTGTTCAAAGGGAGAGTGATGCAATTGTTGTACTGTTACAACTTACAGCTATCTATTTTTTATAGACTGTTACTATGGAAGTTGGTTTGAAAGAGAGAAAGAGTGGGAAGAGGCAGCACGACAAAATCCCGAAAAGATTTTGATTGTTTATTATGAAGATCTTAAGAAAGTATGTTCAACAAAGTGTCTTTTTGCGTTAACATCCCAAGGCATTCTGTTGTAATTAATGCCACTTTTTCTTTAATTAAAAGATACTGGACATATGTTGTTTTAATGTTTAATTTAGAATGGGATGGAGACGATGAGACAGATATCCAATTTTCTTGGAACCTCGTCTGATCCTAAATTTCTTCAGGCTGTTTATGATGAATGTACCTTTGCGAAAGAAAAAGAAAGAGAAAAGGATACAATGTGGAAGTTTATCTATAGAAAAGGTTAAAACTATTGTGCTCTAATTCGTAAATGAATTTCAGATATGAATCCAAATGATATATATATCCATCTGAAGAAACATATACATTTTTTATATTACACATTCTGTATTTCTCTATTCATACTACAGGAGAGGTTGGTGATTGGAAATCGATGTTAAATGAGGAACAGAATAAGAAGTTTGATCAGGTCTTCAATGAAAAAATGAAGGGTTCAAAATTAAAGATTCAGTGGAATTAAATGGATATTGATAATTTTCATAAAATTTTATACAGTTATTAATTTTGTTTCGTATATTAAAATCAAAAGTAATATTTATTTTTTCCCCAATAACCATTATAAATAAAATATGACATGAAATTATAAATCTGAGTTGGGTGTGACATTTTTGGAACAAATGAGTGCCTCAGTGGGTTGGAACTATGGAAATGATCATGTTATGCTTCTAGAATTTCGAGAAATTCAATTCTTTTAAACAGCATTTTTTAAAATTTATGTTTAAATTTTTATGTCACATATAAATGTAAATAAAAAGATTCACCGTCTAGTTTGTTGGGTATACCTGGGACATGAAACACAGTTGGAAACGTGTGATAATTTATGCATAGGGGGCTTCCCCCTTTATGCAAATTATCCCGCATTTCCAACTGTGTTAAATGCCCTTGCATACCTAGCAAACTACATTTTTGTAGATAGTATTTTTAAGAAATTTGCAAAATTGTGACCTTTAATTGATCCCTGCCTCCCCTCGTCCTCATCAATAGGGGTAATGTAATACTGAAAATATTGAAGTGAATCTGGAAACTATTTCGTACCATATATGAATCAATGACCTAGATTTTTCACATTTAGTACAGAAATTAATAAGTTTTTTGCTAAATTTAGGCCATCATCTAAATGCATAGTTTCATTGAAAAACTGAATAACTGAGGTTATCAAACCATTTTATGCAATAAATGAATGTCATAGCTTTCTCTGAATAAGTATTAAGACCCATTCTTTGTAATTTCTTTAATTTTATATAGGAGCTGTGACACGCATAGTCTTAGAATTTCGAAAACTCTCCACGATTAAAGTCTTAAACTCAAATCAGGCAAACAATGGTTGTTACTTGTTATTGTTACCATGGAAACGTGCCCCAAAGTTTGAAAAATGGCACTTTGCAACATATTCAGAGTCCTTAATTAACGTTTGCAGCAATGCAAACAAGTGGCAAAAACTGAAAAAAAAAAAAAATGAAACATGTGAATAAAAATAAATGCAATTCTTTTATACCTGAATCTTCAATAATCTAGATGATCATAATGAAATGGGGTCAGCATGTCAAAATGATAATTATATTTAGTTAATATACATTGCATTTTATTTGCACATCAAAATTACACTTCATATTCTCTTATTTCATGATAAACATTCTATGTAATAATAAACTTGTTTTGTTTTATTTAGAAAGCGCAAGAAATAAATTGATTAAGAACTCACTTTCAGTGTATAAACCTTACTGGTATTTTGTCGTATTGAAGTGAATTGTTTAGAAAACGTAAAGATCAAAGTTTACCTTAGTTGTTGAATAAATGATTATATGTATTTAACTATAAAAGCACTTTAAAAAGTATACATGTAGATTATGATTACCCCATTAATATAAAATCGTAAAAAAAAAAATGTGTTTTCAGTACTAATGATATTTAGGCAGCTTCAGAGATACAAATAAAAGGTGAACGACTACAGATTTGTAAATGAAAAGAAAAGATTAATAAAATATATTGCATTTATATTATAAAATTATTTTCGTCAGGCCATAACTAATTATATGTAATATGTAATTGCAGTCCATGTAATGGCAAAAACTTGCAATTTTCTGAAGTCCAAAAGGGTATGAAATCTATGTGCTCGAATCACTGATAAAGACTCAGCTTTCTGACTAATGGAAAGAAACAGTATCCTCTGATTAGTGAGAGATATATCAAAAAACCATCCTTTTAAACATTTTATTTTATATTTTTATGATCAATATTTTTTTTGGAATAAATTTGCAGTGAATTAAATTTCAAAACGAAACCAACCATACCCCGCCTTCATTATTCATGTATGGATAACCCTCACAAACTGTCAAACACCTTTCTACACGTTTTATCAGATATAAGGAATTGATGACCGCTCCTTCGCTTCGAATATATATGACTTCCCATATTCCAGTACTAAATCAAAAGAAAGCAATGGAAATATTCCTCTTTCCACCATAGCACAGCCAACCCAATGTTCAAGAACCGTGAATCCTGACTGCTCGAATTTCTTAGATGATCACTTACGTGGGGTTAAGTTGATTAAATATCTGCTCTTTTGATCATTTCAAATCGTTGTCTTGTCATTAACATGATCTTGTACCTCAACAACATTTTTGTTTGGAAAGAAAACCTGTTACGTATATTAAATATATGAATAGTTGATAAGAATAATATATTTTTCATGATTGGTCCCAGTAGATTGTTATGCAGGTATTCGTGTTGTCGGTACACCTTGTACATAGATTTATTTTCAAAAGTCTTACAAAAACTTTGATATTTACAATTCACAAACGGATAATCAAAATAGAGAAGTCATTTACATTTCTTGTTGAGTTTTCTTTTTAACTTTCTAAACAGAGTGTTTTTACTGGAATTTTTTGAACGAGACACAAAAAGATTTGGTAGAAGCAGCGAAAAGCAGCGAGAGAATCGATGTCTTTAATGTAAATCTGAAAAAAAGTAATGTTCAGCAATAAATTATTTGTTTTGGTATCCTAGGGTAAACCAAGTTGTAGTATTTATTATATTTCCTTTAAAAGATACAGAAACTACACATTTGTGTTTTTTAAATGCAAAATTTAGAAAGACATGGAGACTATGCAACGCATATCAAATTTTAAACCTCGTCCGATCTTACATTTTTTAAAGCTGTGTATGGTGATACAGTAAAAGAAAGAGAAAACGAAATTATCTACATATACAAGAGTCATCCAAAAATACCTAGACTTTTATCTTAACTGTTTTATTTAAGGTTGTATTATAACCATATTAAGTTGACATATTATAACAATAAATACCAACGATTTGAAAAAAAAATGAATATATCATGACATTCATCAAATTTATCTAAAATTTAAGACTGCAAAAATGGGGTCAAGGAGCCCGATCAAAATTTAGTAATCCAGTAACAATTTTCACTTTGCAAAGTGTCTATAAGCATATCTCCGATAATTAAATTGCCCTTAAACGAAATGAAATTGAAAAGATCAAATTTTCTATTGCTATATTTGTCAAATGTTACACAGTAATGTAATACAATGCTTTATTTTAAAATCAATTTCTATAGACAGGTAATCCTCATTGAAAGAGAGAGAGAGAGAGAGAGAGAGAGAGAGAGAGAGAGAGAGAGAGGTCACGAAGCAACGAGTAGTATTTAGATTTTGTTTTGCACTTAAAAAAACCTCTAAAACAATATGAAAAATGCTGGAGGAACCAATATATATATATATATATATATATATATATATATATATATATATATATATATATATATATATATATATATATATATATATATATATATATATATATATATATATATATATATATATATATATATATATATATATATATATATATATATATAAAGCACTAAAAACCAACAACACTGTATATCCTAAGTGTCGGATCTACTAAGTAGATACAAAGTCACGGATGGAAATTTATATAAAGCACTAAAAATGACCAACGACACGAACAATAATAATTGTCAAATTTTCGGGACAACCTGTCCCTTCCTCAGGACAAAGAAAAAGGTTAAGAAGTCATAAAAACAAAAGAAATAGAGAAGCAAAAACAACTAGCACTACTACTAAACTACCAAACACTAAATATTTACAATGTTACATGTTTAATTTTGAGTTTGTAAACAGTTGTGAACAAAGAAATCCGGAGGGCTATGAATTGCGTCCGGTCTATCGGGTGTAGTCTGGTGAAGTGTGATTTACATAATTGAACGAATTAATTATCGCTAATTAATTACGGCCAACAGTAAATCGTACATTGTCTTATTCTCTCAAAATAGCGTAACTCTACATGATAAAAAGGAATTAAAGAAAGATAATATGGAAGGACAATTTAGAAATATGAATTTGGGTACCCAAATATCTACAGCTCACATTTTTGCTTATTTCTTTTTTCCGTTTTCCAAATTTATAATATATCCAAATTCATATTATCTTTGTCCTGAGGAAGGGACAGGTTGTCCCGAAAATTTGACAATTATTATTGTTCGTGTCGTTGGTCATTTTTAGTGCTATATATATATATATATATATATATATATATATATATATATATATATATATATATATATATATATATATATATATATATATATATATATTAGGGATGGCAATCGAATACAGAATGTCTAATCGGTTAACCGCAAGACGTTCCGAACGATTAATCGGTTAATCGTATCGTATAAAAAATTCGACTTCTTTTCTTGTATTTGTATTTATATACAAAAGAAGACTGAAAGAGAGACGTGGTTAGAAGTTAGAAACATTCTGCTCATTATCTTGATCAGGAAACTATGTGTACATATAAATTATTTTATTTCAATTTCAATAGTTAGGCAAAGAAAAAATAAGAAAACCATGAATTTTGCGTAAGAAATCAGACACAGAAAGATATGTTTCCAGTGCAGATATCGCACAAATTCATTCTTCATTGTCACAGTGATCAAAACTTTGTCCGAACTTTAACTTATGCAATAGTTTTCCAATAATATAATAGATAACGGCGAAAGATTGATATGTATACACATTCATTAAAAGTGCTCAATGGAAATTGTGTAAAATCATTAAAGTATTACGGGACGACCAGGTTACCAATATATTGTTTTTAAAAACAGTAATTAACACTTCCAAAACTGACCAATTATTACCTCGCGATCTCAATCCGGAGAGCCATAATTACCTCCAAATCAGCTCAATAAGATGTGTAAAAACACTGAACTATCAACTTTTATGCAGAGATTTCCTTTTTTAAAAATTAAATTTAAGAAAATTGCATCCAATTTTACATGTATTAAATTTTCCGATTAACCGATTGCAGATTTTCTAACCGATTACCATCGTTCCGACCGATTAATCGATTAACCGGTTACAAATTGCCATCCCTAATATATATATATATATATATATATATATATATATATATATATAT